GTTTTTGAGAGAGAGAGAAGAGTGGCTAGGGTTTCAATTTTGCAACTCAATCATTAAATGATTTAATTTTTAGTTGCACCTAAAATCATATTCCAACTTGGAATAGCCATCTATTCCAATTGGAATAGCAAACAACTTATTCCAATTTGGAATAGATTCCCCTTGCAACCAAACATGGCATTTCTAATTCAAATTTAAAAACCCAAATTTGAATTTCATATTATCAATATTAATATTAGATAATATCTATTATATTTAAATTCAATTCAATTCAAATTTAAAAACCAAATTTGAATTTCATATTATTAATAATAATATTAGATAATATCCTTTATATTTGAACGCATATATATATAATCTTACTAATTTAATTTCCGTATGAAATTAAATTTAGGCAACAACCTCAACAAATTTAATTGTACGGTGAGATTACCAAAATACCCTTTCATCATAAATGACGAAAATACATTTTCATCATAAATGACGAAAATACCCCTCTCACGAATTATGTTCTTATTCTGTCTTCTATGTGTGCAACCCCAAGGCTTCTCATCGTATTGGTAGTGAAAATTATTGCAACTGACAATCAATCAATCAATCATCCCAGACACGGACTAAGATTGGCCTCTATCTAGACATTAGGGCCACCCAATAAATTTGGATTCACCGAAACCGCTGCCTATCAACGATATAGTTACTGTGCAATTCAATCATTTCATTATCTATTATCTCATCAAGGCCGAGGTATAGAAGTAGTGTCAACCTCAGATATCCTTGATATCTCGGTATTCGGTTATTGGACCAATGATCGGAAAAGATTGGATTGAGTTAAACTCAATCCCACTGTGGCCACAGATTTAATGTTGTTGCCATCTACCGAATTATTCAGTGAGATAATTTCTCCCGTACCCAGGAGTGATGAATCCTCTATCGATCCACCATAGTCTTGATATACTCCTCGATGTAGCCAATCACTATAGTATTGATAGTTCTAAATACAACTACGTTGGGCTAGTGTCAAACTACACTAATTGATGCATAATACATTCCGATGATCTCTATTCTAAGGATGACATGCACCACCATTCGTTAGAGCATTTATTCTATAGACACTAGGGTTACCATCCATATGGAATCCTCTAGTGGGTTGATTCAGTGAACTTGCCTTTAACAAGCACCCATGTGTTGCACCAGGTTGTCACCAAACAACCTTGACAAGTGAGATCTGTCACTACCTTTTGATAGGGTCGTCCAACACTATGATAGTCTTACCGTATTATCTATGCCCTAGGTTAGGATAATACTAGGGCTATGGATGTTTCTAGAATGGCCACCATATGTGCCCATAGGGTTCTCCTATCGATATTTCAAACACTTGATGCCCTCGTCACGGTTCTACCATCCTAAGGACATATATCATTTTCTTATATGAATATAATCAGATCATATGGTATAGATAAATTCCTTTTATTGATAATAAAATATGATTACAAAGAGTCAATACTATAATAATTGATTGGCACTAGGATATCTACTCTAACAATCTCACACTTGCACTATAGCTAATCATTCATGTATTTAATACCAATGGCACTAAGTGCCTATCACGCTTTTGCTGCAACATAAACTTCAATAATAGGTTAGTAGGTATTTTGCAAACCTGCACATCCCCTCTTTGATCAATTTCTTAGATTAGATTGAATCAACTAAGTATGTGTTTGGATCACTAGTGAGACCGTGGTTCCTTAACCATAGCAATGGCTCCATTATTGTCGCAGTAGATCTTTACTGGATCAGTAATGCTTGGAACCAACAAGTTTAGTAATGAACGTTTTGATCCAAACCGCCTCCATGGCTGCATTGGATAATGCGATATACTTAGTATCAGTTGTAGAATATGCTACAATACTTTGCTTTGAGTTTTTTCAGCTCACTGCAGCTCCATTGAGACAAAATACAAAGTCCAACTGCGATCGATAATCATCCTTGTCTATTTGGAAACTAGCGTCACTGTATCTTCTTACAGTGAGTTCATCTTCTCCTCTATAAACCAAGAACATGTATTTAGTCCTTTTTAGGTACTTAAGGATGTTCTTGACAGCCATCCAGTGACACTTACCTAGATTCGATTGATATCTATTACAAGTGCTTAATGCACATGAGACATCAATTTGAGTACACAACATGGCATATATGATGGATCCAATTGCTGACGTGTACGGGATCCTCTTCATTCTGTCTCTCTCATTGTGTTTTAGGACACATATCCTTGGAGAGATAGACACCGTGTGACATCAGAAGAAATCCCTTCTTGGATTCTTCCATACTGAATCTCTTCAGTATCTTGTCTATATACGCACTCTGACTCAAGCCAAGCAACCTACGCGATCTATCACGGTAGATCTTTATTCCAAGGATATAGGTTACTTCTCCTAAGTCCTTCATGGAGAAGCACTTGGATAAGAAAGTCTTTACCGACTACAAGTTTGGTATATCATTCTCAATTAGAAGTATATCATCAACATACAACACCAAGAATGCCACTACGCTCCCACTTACTTTCTTGTAAACATAGGGCTCATCTTCGTTCTTGATGAAACCGAATTCTTTTATGGTTTCTTCAAAATGAATGTTCCAATTCCTTGAAGCTTGCTTGGGTCCATAATGGACCTCAACAACTTGTATATCTTATCAGCTTGTCCATCAAGAACGAAACCATCGGATTGTGTCATACACACATCTCTTCAAGGTTTCTGTTCAGGAAAGCTGTTTTGACATCCATCTGCCAAACACTACAACAATATACACATATAGCTATGAAAATTAGCTACATAAAGGAAAACTGTAGCAAATACATAGTTACAGCTACAAAAGTCAATATTTATAGCTAATTGAAATAATTTTAGTGATAAGATTTTCTCCCTCGAAGCTAATATTCATCTTTTGCTTTAACTTATTAAAATTGTGGCAATAACTAGTCATTTAGCTACAATGTATTAGCTATGGTAAAACATTGTAGCTAATGAATGTATTTAGCTATAAATATTTCATTTACATGGCATATAGTATTATTATTAGCTACGAGTTTAACTATATAGCTATTATTTGTGCATTAGCTATAAAATATTGAAATTTATAGCTAATTAATGTATTTAACTATAAACATTTTATGTACATGGCATATAGTATCATTATTAGCTATGAGTTTAACTATATAACTATTTTTTGTGTAGTAGCTATAAAATATTGAAATTTGTAGCTAATTAATGTATCTAGCTATACAAATTTTATTTTCATGATAGTAACAATATTTTAGTATCATTATTAGCTACTAGTTTAAATATATAGCTAGTATGTATGTATTAGCTATAAATTATTTGAATTTGTAGCAAATAAAGAATGTGAAAATTAATTTGCTATAATCCTTATAGTATGCAGTTATGGATATTCTAATTTATCCCCTAAGTAATTATATTTTTATTACTTATGAATTAAATAGTTATAGTCAAACAAAGTGTTAATCACACCGCTAAGGTCAATAGTAAATTGGAACCTTCAACCAATAGCTAATTTAAAAGAATTCTTTCCAACTTATCAAACTTAGTTTTAATACAATTTAAATATCTCAAACAAAATATTAGACTTTTTTCCACAATATACCGTTCTACAATAGAACCTTCTGGCCGACTTTTATTATGAATATAACTATTCAATTTTCCTAAGAACCTATACAAATGTTTCTTCAACTACTTATAATAACTTATTAGAACCATACATTGATTTAAAAAAAAAAAATAGATATATGAAATAATGAAAACAAAATATTGTTATCCATTTGAACGTCTGATGCTCAGCCCACTCCATATACTCATTTGCTAAACGTTCCACATCAGTAACAATAAGTTGGAGATTAATTTGCAAGTTCATTCTATGAACAAGAAATAAAGAATTCATTATAAAGCTTAGCAATGATAGGATTTAAGTGGCTCTCGTCTCCTTGTGATCTAATAAATTGTTCTCAAGGTATCAATTGCAATTGATTCATACCACTCGTGATTTAATTCACAATATAAATTTACTTATAAAAAATTGAACTTAGTGAATCACAGGAGACTATGGTTAGCTTGTGTAACAACCGCACTATTGAATAAGCTTGTGTAACAACCGCACTATGTAAATATTATTCAAATTATTTTTCTTAAATATGTAGAATTTAATTTTCTTCATTATAATTTATCTTTTAAATGTGAATAATTTAATAAATAATTTATATACATTACTAATTATAAGATTAATTAATAAGATAATTTGTTTAATCTTAGTTATGCTGGATCTTATTATTATTTAATTATGTCAAGTCCATCGTTGCTGTTTCAATTAAAAATCATGTTTATACTTCAAATAGGATAAAGACTATATTTTTCCCTAAAATATAAAAGTGGCGGTAGAGATGGGTGTTTTACTCGCCCTGCCCCGAACATGTCTAATTTTTTTAATATTTAAAGTGATTGATTGCATGTTTATTTTATTGAAATAGATTATATATAAACGTACAAATACATATATTAAAATCACCATTCATATTGCCTTTAATATCTGATCAAATATTTTTACTCAAATAAATGGTCTCTAACTCATAAAAATGACAATATCTCTTATGAACTATGATTGGTGGTATTTTTTGTTTAACTAGTACAATATATCTTTTTTTTTTTAAAAAAAAAATATTGATATGACTTTATATAGATGATAAAATAATATAAAGCTGACAATTGACATAACATGTTATATAAATCAGCAATATATATATATATATGAATAAAAGCATTCTCAATTTTATATATATATCTGCCTCTAACCATTAATTCCTTCTAGGTTTTATTTAGAAATTTATTATATAATTTTTAAAAAAAAAAAGATATTAATAAATCTGAATTGTTAACAAACTGCCCTGAAAATATTGAAATATTTACAACTTTGCCTACATAAACCCATTATACCCACAAATTGCGCATACCCAATTCCAAAATCCAAAATCGAAGCAGCCAAACGCCCAAGCCTTGAAACCTAAATTCCTAATTGCCTGTCTGCCGCCACAGCGCCACTAAATTCCCCCTCTTCTGCCGTTCAACTCCAGACTCCTTGGAAAATTAACGATCTCCAGACTCCGGCCAGATTTATCTCGTTTCCCAGCGGTGACTCTGTGAGTACACCCTTTTTCTCCTGTAATTGTTATATTTCAGTAGAAGCATGTAGTCGTGTGTTTGTGTGATTGTGTCTGTAGTTTTACTTGTTATGAGATTTGTGTTTATGTGATTGTGTCTGTAATTTAATAGAACCCAATTGTCTTATTAGATTAATTGCAGTTGGGAGTTTTAACCATTAAATCTCCAACCTCCAATTTCACACAATTTTTAAAGCAAGTAGTTCTCTTAAAATGAGATTTTAAGTTGTTTATGGATGCAAAAATTCGCGTGTTAATAAAATTTGTCCCACAACTGTGAAAAGTCAAACAAGGTTTAGGTAGAGGTAGTGCGAGTGCAGTCGTTGAAGAAATGGTTGATGCATATGATGTCTGTGATGAAGCATTGGAAAAATTGTATTGAAACAAATATGTCAACTCTTTTAAGTCTCTTTCATTACTTTTAATTTATATAAACACAGCCCATACACAGAACATGAAAATTGCTTGCACTCTTCTCTCTTCCATGACCACTGGAACGAATTGCATCTAAAATTTTGTCGCAAAGTTACTAGATCAATTGCCTTGTTTACTGATGCATTTATATAAATGTTTCTGTTCTTGTTGCTTTCATATAATAATATTCAATAACTAATATAATAATATAAATTCCACATGGGTTAAAATAATATTATCACATGATTTAAGTGAGCTTGTGGTTTGGATTTTGGTCCCACTCAAAATTCTCTTATCATGCATATTCAATAACTAATATAGTTCAGTTGAAAGTGTATATATTATGTGGAACCATGTTTAATTTAATTTTAAAGCGAAACAAGTGTCCGTGGCCCATGTTTTTTGCCTCTTTATTTTAAAATTCATCAATGACAAGTTTAATTAGTATGACTTGACTTTTATTATAAAAATGTTTTAATTCACACAATGGAAGTCATTGATATAAACCTGAACAAGAAACCCGTCAAATATGAATAAGAAACCTTGCTGTTTCTAATTTCCCCTCTCTTTCTTTTTTAAAAAATAAAAAAATAAAAATCAGTTTTATATACTTCTTCTTGTGTTAAAGTTTGGATTGAATCTCACAAAAGAAAGAAAGGAAAGCAAGCTTACTAGAAGACATTATTGTAATAGCTTTGTATTCTCTTTAACTATTTCTTGATTTTTTATTATGCTCACACATCCAAGCTAATTTATAAATTTATTTTGTAGTTATAGTTTGATTGATTAAAAAAACAAGTAGAAGGACAAATCTTATTGAATGATGATGAAATATTTGAAGAGGTCCTTGGTCCAGAGAAAAATGACTATTTGCGTGCTTATGGTCCAAGAAAAAGTATCACTGAATATTTTGGAAGTAGACCAATTAAAGCACAACTTATGAAACAAGTACAAACAACAAGGAAGGAATCTAATGAAAGGCTGAAGGAGGCAAAGAGGAAGCAAATGAGAAATTATAAGAAGTAAAAGGCAAATGGAGGAGATGAATAGACGATGGGAAGAGAAGTTCAAGATGATGCTTACAACTTAAGGTCAACAATCTTCAACAAATAACCAAATCTCTTTGGATGAAATTGTAAGTTATTTTGAAAATTGCATATATACTACGAAACCTATTTTTCTTTTACATTAATCATAAAGTAATATGCAATAATGACATTAGTCTATATGATTAAACTTATTTTTTTTTTTTTTCAAATTTGATATTGCAGGTTGGTGGAAATTCTTAAATGGTCAAGAAAGGTTCATATAACATTGAAGCATTCATATTTTGTAAAAAAATTAGTTGATAACATTTTTAATTACTAAGATGAAAGATTTTACGAGTAGACAATTATTTGGTTAAAAATGACTTTATTAATGTTTTATTTTTTATATTAGAATTTTTCTCATGACGTTATATTATCTATTTAATATAAAAATATTGTTATAAATTTGTAATTATTATTATATTTGTTAATTATAGCAATATTTGTTTCAATTAATTTTAATCGGAGCAATAAATTATAAATTCTTGATATAAATTATTTGTTTCATAGCAAATAATTATAATATTTAGCTACAAATCAAAAATATTCATAATAAGTAATTTCAATATTTAGCCATTACCAAACTATGTCCATAGCAATATCTTTTCGTATATGGATATGACTTTTATATGTACGTAGCAAATAATTTAATATTTAGCAACGAATTCACTATATATGTGGCAAATGATCTTTTTATTTAGTTATGAATTTAGCAACGAAATTTTCATTCACTTTTCCAAGGAATTTGAGGGCTTTTGAGTAGATTTTCATAGGGTTTTGATTCAAGGCATCAAAAGGTAAGGAATCAAGCTCTTTATCTATGATTTATTTGTGTAAAGTTTGAGTTCTTATGAAGTTTATGCTTAGGGTTAAGAGAAGATTGGAATCCAACAAGAATAGAGAGCTTAGGAGAGACTACTCAAGCACAAGGTAAGTAAATTCCACTCAAAATCCAACTCAAGCTAAAATTTAAGAATTCAAGTGAGTAGAGATTTCTTCTAAATATGCATATGTTTTGATTATTGAGAAATTGAGATGAGATTGATGATGAATTATGCTTGTTGTTGGATATATTTGAATATGAGAAGTATATGTGATGATTTGATGATGGGTTGAAATTGGAAGAATTGGAGAAATTTTTGTGGAGTGTGTTTGCCATGTAGGTATGTGATGCTACAAGAGAGTTTTTCTCTCATTTTGGATGGTTTGAGAACTAAATAGAATGATAATTGAATTAGGGTTTGTTTATGCACAATTAATGTTTGATGAAATGCCTAAGTGAAAACATGTTACCAAACTGCCCTGTCACAGCCGTGACTTTCTGAGTGATTTTTGGGCATCTTACGGATTGAACTGGGTTTAGACCAAAACATAAAAGTTGTAGTCCTGTCTCTAAGCTTTAAAACGAGACCAAAACCGTAGCAATCCGAGGTGTATAACTCAAGTTATGCCTTCTTGAGTGTGACCTGCGCAGAATGACAGTTTTGATGCAATATTGCATTTGTGCATTTCAAAAGTGCATTAAGTAAGAAACTTTAAGCATGAACCATCCTTATGCATTAATTGTGCATTGAGAAGTAGTTTGAGAAAGAGTAGAGAACTTTGTGAATGGGCTACTCTAAAAGTAAAGAGAATGAGAAAATCTAAGAATGGGTTGGTGCTTTGTGAACTCCAACTGGAAGTCAGGAAGAGTGGGTTGGTGCTTTGTGAACTCCAACCGAAAGTCACGAAGAGTGGGTTGGTGCTTTGTGAACTCCACCCGGCCGTGCCTCCGGTAAGATGAGGCCGTGACATTCCAGTGAGAAAGAATGAGAAAATATAAGAAAGAATAGAGGAAGAGAAAGAGTAGAAGTCACGAAGAGTGGGTGGGTGCTTTGTGATCTCCACTCAGCCGTGCCTCCGGTAAGATGAGGCCGTGACATACAACAGAAAGTTAATAGAAAAGAGCTATGTGAAAGAGAAATAGAAAGAGAAAATAAATGAGATGAGAAGAGTGTAAGGAAAGAATTAAGAGAAAGAGTTACGGGGATAGACGAGTAGAGGATTTACTTACTGAGCATTATTTTGTGCTCACCCCGTTGTTTTTCTTTGTGTTTGCAGGATCTAGGTGAGGACGCGGTCGGATGGGCATCGGCAAGCGAGGAGTAATAGCTACACTGTCCACTGTTTTTGATAACTTTTACTTATGATGCCTTACTTTGTATAAAGAATGATTAAATGTATTAAAATAAAATTGTGGGCCCATTTACTTTTGCTAATATAAATATATTTACTTAATGTATTTCTATACGTATCCTAGTATGAAGCAGTTATTACCATTTCATGGTTGTGATATGCAGTAATCGTAAACATAATTTGAATGGACTTAATCATGGCAACCAATGAAAAGGTTTTTTCATACACAATACTATGAATTTGTACGAAACCTTTGGCAACCAGTTGTGCCTTATAGGTGTACACCTTGCCATCCATATTAGTCTTCTTCTTGAAGACCCATTTACACCCTATGGGTTTTACCCCTTCAGGTGGATCCACTAGAGACCATACCTGGTTCTAGTACATGGAGTCCATCTCAGATTTCATGGCTTCAAGCCATTTAATGGAATCCGGATCCGATATAGCGTCTTTATAGGTTCTGGGTTTATTGTCTTGGTAGACCAGTACATTACCATGTTGAGTCACGAGGAAATCGTATCTCTTGGGCTCATGACATACTTTACCAAACCTACGTAGCTCCTGTGCTACATGAGGTGATTTACTTTGATCCACAAAGTGTGGAGTAAAGTCCTCACGATGTTCAACCATTTCCTGTGGCACATCCTCCTGTCCTTTGTCTAATGTATCTTCTGGTTCTAGAACTTCATCGAGTTCCGCTTTTCTCCCACTAGTACCTCCTAGAAAACAAAAATTCTTTCTCTAAGAAGATACCAGTACCAGCGATAAAAAATTTGCGCTCTTCTGGATGGTAGAAATAATATCCTTTGGTCTCTTTAGGATAGCCCACACAAATACATTTATTAGATTTTGGGCTAACTTTTTCAAAGTCAATTTCTTGACATAACCTTCACAACCCCAAATCCTTATATAAGATCAATTAAGTTTTCGCCCACTCCACAGTTCATATGGAGTCTTATCCACAGACTTTTATGGCACACGGTTAAGTAAGTGAGTCGCAGTCTCTAGGGCATAACCCCAGAATGATGCGAGTAGATCACTAAAACTCATCATAGACCTAACCATGTCAAGTAAGATCCTATTCCTCCTTTTAGACACACCATTATGTTGGAGTGTATATGAAGAGGTGAGCTTTGATACTGTCCCACATTCCTTCAGGTATGTTTAACTCAACTTGCCACACTTGACATAGTTGTTACTTTAAGAGCATCCATATTGTCTATTTCAAGAACATGTAAAATTATTATGAAACAGTTACATAAAGAATATTATTTATATTAAAAGAAAACAATCCATTATTAAAGCAATATTCTCACTTGTCCAAGGTGGACACAAAAATATTATTTCTAGAAACTGAGGGAAAATCATAATAATCCATAAGTTCCAAATATAAAGCCTATAGGCAAAATCAGACAATAAGATCCTACAGCTAATGTAACATCACGTGCTCTATTTCCAACGTAAAGATTATACCGTTTACATGTTTGTAAACAAAATCTGTATAAAATAAATCCATTCAAGGATTAGAATACTTACATACGTCTGGAGGCTCCTTCGAATATCTCTGATTTTGGACACGAATACTATTCACCAGTACTGTTCACCAGTTACTATTTATCGTCTATTGTTCATGTGATTTTTCGCCAATCGATCCAAAGTAGGATTGCACTCACGAAAGTCCACACAAAAATAATCCGCAGAACCCTTGATTATTTTGCTAGAACAATCAAGGGCATCAAGAATCAAGAAAGAAGAACGAGAAAAAGTTTTCTTCTTGAGAGAGAGAGATAGGGTGGCTAGGGTTTTAATTGAATGAATAATTCTCTTATGTTTTAATTTTAAGTTGCACTTATATAGTGCAATAATTAAAACCCTATTCCACTTAGGAATAGCAATGGGCTCCAACCCTAGTTTACCCTTGCAACCAAACACACCTTTTATGGTATTTTAATTAATTAATTATTATTATAATTAAAATATATTAAAATATAATAATATATTAATAATTAATTAATAATAATAATTCATTTAAAATATATATAGAGATATATTTAAATATAATCTCACTAATTTAATTTTAATATTAAAATTAAATATAGGCAACCACCTCAGCAAATTTAATTGCACTATGAAATTACCAAAATACCCTTCTCACAAATTGATTATTAAATTATCTTCTAAGTGTGTGACTCGTAGGCTCCTCATCATATCGGCAGTGTGTAGTATCGCGATTAACATCAATTAATCATCTCATTACACACAGACCAAGATTTGCCCCTAGTAAGGCATCGTGGCCACCCGATAGATTCGAATTCAGCGAAACCGCAGCCTATCAACGGTTTGGTTACCGTGTAATCAAATCCTTTCATCAACTGTTATCTCATCGAGACTAAGGTACATAAATAGTGTCAACCTCAGATATCTTCGACATATTTGTATTCAGTTACTGGACTAATGATAGGAATATTAAATTGGATTGAGCATCAACTCAATCCCACCGTGGCCACAGATTTAGTGTCATTGCCATTTACTGAATTACCTAGTAAGATAACTTATCCCGTACCCAGGAGTGATGAATCCTTTGTCGATCCACCATAGTCTTGATACACTTCTCAATGTAGTCAATCACTACCGTATTGATAGCTCTGAATAGCACTACGTTAGGCCAGTGTCAAACTACACCAATTGGTGCACAAGGCGCTTCGGTGATCTCAAGTCTAAGGATCGCATACACCACCATCCGTTAGAGGATATATTCCATAGACAATGCGGTTACCGTCCATATGGAATTCTCTAGTGGGTTTGTCTGGTGAAATTGCCTCTAGCAAGCACTCATGCATTGCATCAGGTTGTTGGCAAACAACCTTGACAAGTGAGATCAGTCACTACCTTTCGACAAGGTCGTTGAACACTATAATAGCCTTACCGTATTATCTGTGTCCATGGTCAGAATAATACTAGGGCTATGGACGTTTCTAGAATGGTCATCATATGTGATCATAGGGTTCTCACTATCAAAATTTGAAACACTTGACACCCTCGTCATGGTTCTACCATCCTAAGGACATATATCATTACATACATGATATAGAAGAATATGCCTTTTATTGATAAATAAACATTTATTATAGAGTCAATTTTATAATAATTGATTGGCTCTAGGGCCCCTAC